TTTTTTGTGGGATGGAGAAAGGCTTTTATCAATTTTATCAACAATGTAAAGCCTGTAAAATTACAAATGTTAAGTTTATTGCTTTTTTTTAAATTGGATTAATATTGCAAAAGTATACAATCAGGATAAACATATTGGTTATTACATCATGAACATCAGTATCAATCTTACAGAATGCCGTCAGAGGATGTACCCTGGAGCCGGAACAGGTGTATTGCATTGGCCATTGCCGGATCTTACAACTGCAACGGGACAGCTGGGCAGCTTGAGAGGAAGAGGAGGGGCATAGGCCACAAGAAAACAGATTGGGCGGATAAGTAAAAGTGATACAAATTGCATGCACGGGGCGGGGCCGGGCCGCCGAGCCAGCTGGACGCCACTTGCATGGGCTCCAGCTCTAGGCTCGTGAAACGGATTCAAAAAGCCGACATAGACCGCTGCAATGCCGGAACAGTCGCTCCCGCTGCATGGAGAGGGTTACCAGCTTCAGCCCGATACCCCGCAGGAGGCACAACACGCACCGGGTGAGCGGAAACAGACACCTTCAGCCTGCAAGCCGACACAGGCCTGTCCTCGTGCTCCCAGGCACCGCGGAGAGGCACTTGGCGGGAAAGGGAAAAACCACATGAACTATACCCCGGCTCGGGGCACGGCCCCGCTCCCCCCCCGGACCGGTGGGGGTTATCCCGGCATCATGGCGGTGGCCCGCACAGTGGCGGGAGATCCCGCGCTAGGCCTATGCCGCCTGCCTACACTAGCAACGGCTGAAAGGGAAAAAACAGCCAGCCAGCAGATATGGACGCCGCCAGGAACGCACCCTAATACAGAATAAAGGGGCACAAGCAACCATTGGATGGGGCACTACAACCCACACGAAGCCCCAATTTGGCAGGCTGCCGATGAGAATCCTGCATAAACGGCTACTACCATTAATATCCCCCAGGAAACCAGATGAGCGGCTTGAGCACCAACAGAGGCACATACCATGTTGGGTTACCGCGGACTTTTGCAGAGATGGACCCACAGATGCCCACCCTCGGGTGACCGGTGTGCTGGTAGGGAACCGGTCGGACCCTTTGAACTTGGTGGTGATTCAGAGGACTTTGCCCCTGACTCAGTGAGCCCTGTGGGACCGGTAGACGTAGACCCTCCAGTGAACCGGTGGCCGGGGGGCGCGCACTGGTACCAAGTATGAGACCGGAGCCAGGCGAGGCATGGACTGACTGGGACTCGGGGGTGGTTCCGGGGGAATCGGGGAGGTGCAGGGGACGGGTGGCAGGTGGATTCTACGTGGGGGGGATCTGCTAGTCTACCCACTGACGGACCGGAGTTTGCCCAGGGTGGAGGCACAAGAGGGTCCCCCAGACACAGAGGTGCCCACGGGCCCCAAATGTGGATGGCCCAACCTAACTTGATAACATCTAGGACTCATTTAGCCAAAAGCGTAGTCGTCCAGAACAGCCGTGCCCCGGTATTGTTTAAGTCCTTATTAGTAATTTTTTTTTTTGTATATGAGCATATGTTCCTCGCATGTCAGAGCTTCAATAGACTAGGCGATGTAAACGCACTTAACATAAAGAGTTTGTATGCATATTCCCACTAGTTGAAACTGTGCAGGATAGTACAAATTGATGAGCATCGGACCTAGCAGCAAGGGCATAATGATATGTTTTTAACTGCTACTAGAAGTTTTACATGTTTCAATACTGCCTATTTACCTGCCTAATTACTGCATTGTATGTTACTAGGCCTGAAAAACTACTCTGTGAAATCAATGTAGCAGAGTATATACTGTCAGGGTTATTTAATACTACCTACCTAATCGCTCGATTACCGCACTATATATTACTGTGCCTTAACATAGTCACAAACGCTCTGACTGGTAAAAGTGTAAATTCATGTTATTAGAGCTAACCACGCTAATATTTCCAAGGGCATAAGCAGCTGTACATAGGATACAATCTTTAACATTAGTACATATATTTCGCAGCATGCCTGATGTGCAGTTGATAGGGCAAAGTCGCAATGCTGATAGCTACTTCACACCGCGCTAACTATCAACGCTTAATTAATGACAAGAAACATATGCCATAAAATATTAACCACAAATAAGGCTCTCAGCCACGTGCATACTAATGTTTAATAGTTAAAAGCCAAGTTTTAAACACAGCGGTAGCGTACGTCTAGAGCGCTAACCAGATAGTTGAAAAAGTTTTTATATCTTAGATTATCGCTTAAAGTCTGACTCCAATTAGCAAGCTGATTTACTCGCCTCTGCACAGGCGAGAATTTGCATTTACCAACTAGCAAGCACGTAGCTCTGGCACACACCAGTTAACTTAAAAACACTCAATTAATGCTATAACCGAACTAAAAAGGTAACACAGTACAACACAAAGCAACCCACGGTGAACAAAAAACACAAGCTAGGACAAATCCGCCTCTACGCAGGCAACCAAATGTATATGCAGTGTTAAACCAATGCCTAAGCCCCTGCGTGGGCAATCACTTGCTTTATTACAAATCAATTTGATGTATGACTTTATATTATGCACACAATAAAAATATTCAAAACAAATTGCATGCACTGGGCTTTGGAGTAAAAACATTGTTAATAACCATATTGTACTTATCAAGCGGAGTGGCAGGAGAGGATACTGATGAGACCTTGTCTGGTAAGTGAGCAAGTCCATTGTGTCCCCCCTTGGGCGGCCGGTCGGAACTTGGTATGTGACAGAGGTTGTAACGGCAGAGCTCTTAGTCCAGTGGGGGGGAGAGGATCGCATATATGTGTTGAAAAGGTGTCCTCAGATATAGCCTTAATAGTTTCATGCTGACAGTTGAAATCTTGACGTCAGTAAGAAGCCGTATCACTGTCAGAGTTCCAGCAAAACGTGACAAGAGGTTGGAGAGTCCAGGAAAATCAGCAGAGGTTGGGAGGTCTGGCGCAGGGCCTGCATGACCTCCTTGTATGTGAAATAGTGTAGTCTGCAGACCACGTCGCAGGGCGCTTCAGTAGATACCCCTTGTGGTCGTAAAGCTCTATGCGCCCTGTCTATTCAAACCTGCGTGTCGGGTGGCTTACCCAGGATGAGATTAAAAAGTTCGGTCAGAGAGGCCATTAGTTCTTCCTGGTCACGCTCTGGTAACCCCTTAATTCGAAGATTGTTTTGCCATCATCGTGGGATCTGTGTAGACGTGACAGGAAAGAGGGGTGGGAATTTAGGGATGATTGTAGTTGATGTATTTGGGTCTGTAGGTAGTCCCTATCGTCTTCAAATGTACTTACTCGATCTCCCACCTGGCGGATGTCTGCGCCAATGGAGCCCAGTTTTGTTTGAAACAACCGTTCTAGCTTCCCCAGCATATCATTGATATCACATTTAAAAGGTAGTTTTTTTTAACAATTTCCTTAAGGTCGATATCAGCTGAGGGGAGTGAATGTTCCGAGCCTCCCAGGCTTGACGGAGCTAAGCCATCTTGTGAAGACTCTGGCGCCATGTTGTGACACAAGGTACCCCTGCAGTCTCACTGCTCAATCCTCTGCCATTTAGCAGTTAAATAACTTTTGTTTCTGCTTATGCAGTGGTTCTTTTATTTGATCTTAACCGTTGTTGTTTTATTTAATTTTTTTTTAATGTATTGTATTACGCTATGTTGTATTACTTTTGTCCATGTTTTTAGGAATCTGGATGTCTGCTCTATATCGTCCTGTAAAGGGTGTGTACGATATTTAAATAGGGGAGTTTTAGATTACTTTTTGCAAACTTTCACATTTATTTATTATATTGTAGCTCATTTTCCTGGCTCAAATGCTGCAACTACATCATCCTGCTGACCGCTGCAAACCACCCGTTTGTCCTGCCTTCACCCAACCAGTCTGCAAACAGCATCTAACAAAATCTGTCAAATGACAATTTCTGATGCAAAATTCAGCTCTCGTGCCAACAGTGAATCCTTAGTATTAGTTAAATAATTATTAAAAATAATAAAATAAGATATATTATAATAATAATATATAGTGCACAATATAATATATAGTTTCACAATACTATTATAGGCCTCCCAGCAGTCTTGATTTTGGTGGGACAGCCAAAATTTTGGGGGCCTGATTTAGCAGAATTGTCATCGGGCAGCAAGCACTGTGAATGGCCACTAAGACCCTGCCAATATGGCATTAGTAGCACTCTCTGTAAAATCATGTAAGTTGGGGGCTGGCCAGACAGGCTCCATGATGAGTCGTGTCACTAGCAACACCCTCTTTAGGGCCCACCCACCTATCATGATCTCACATCTCCCAATGTTGGGAGATATGCTATTATATACACACACCCCTTCCAAATAAATGGCACTCTGGCTTTAAGGTTCATACATGACATTGTTTATTGTCAATGTTTCTGTTAGACTAAGCTATCATTCTTCAGAACCGTTACCGTTAAACTGAAACGTTACATTTTATTTGTTGATGGAATAGGAAATAGGACCCAGAGTGCTGATTCATATTGCAATATACATAAATGTAATTTCGAGCACTGGGCAAATAAAGATGAAGGGAGTTGGAGGGCAGAGCATTTTTTTACAAAATGTGATATATTTACACATATCTATATAGATATAAAATCGAATACTACTCGTTTCATTTTTTTTGGTCATGAGTGCTGTTGATACTAATCAACACAGACAGACAACATAATCATATCAGTCTAATTTCCTTCAAAGCTACACAGAAGATGATTTTGTCTGTATAACCCCAACAGAAAACTGGCAGCAAAAAATATTTATCTTTGCATGTTATTGAACAGAATTTTCATTATCTATCTGATAAATGACATCAAAAGTAGTACAGCAGAATATCAGTATCAGAATCAAACGACAACGGTCTTATCGCCTGCAGAAGATAAATTGGATGTGCTCAGTGGAAAAAAATTGGTATGCATGATATATTGAGATCACAAGACAAACAGTACAGTAAGGATGCGCCTAAAATATATACTAAAATATAGGAGAGAGAAAGGGAGACTTCCTAGTGTATTAAGTTTCCTAGGAAGTCTCCCTTTCTCTCTCCTTTGAGGAAATCCATTCCAGGCAAAAGGGTGCAGTGTGTCCATACAACACTACTGTGCAAGTGATTTAAGCCTGTCCCTTTGAGGCTCTGATCAATAGAGCACTATATATTTTATTTTTTCCTTCTGGGTCTGTATTTTGGATGTCGAATGTGTACCAGAGAATCGTCAATTGAAATCTACTCCACATATCCTTGAGTGGGGATTATTCCACTTCACGCACATAATATCAGAGCTGGATCCTCAGCTCTGAAAATTGTGAGTAAGACCTATTCTATTATTTTATTCTCAACGTATCTACATACTGTACCACTGGAGTTTTGTCTCTTCTTCTCTTCACATATGTTCTATTGAACTCTAAGCATACAACTATGAAGATCTGATCCTACTCCACATCCTAAGAATCTTCTTTTGCTTCACGTGGGATTCTCCATTACGAACTTTGATAAGTTTCGGACATTTTTTTATATCACATTTTTTATATATTGTTTTATCATTTACTGTATTTTATATATATTTTAGGCGCATCCTTACTTTACTGTTTGTCTTGTGTTCTTCAAATTATTAGGGAATTATAGGGGATTCCCTTTTGAGGAGTGCAGCCTTCTCTTACTGTGGCCATTTAGCGCTGATTTTTTTCTGTTCTTTTTAATGATATATTGAGATAACTGTTTTGAGATCTTCTTCAACAGCCGTGAGACGATTGTGGATCCTAAACTTGATGTATACTGTATAAAACAGCATGTGAAATATTTTTGTGACTGCAGATGAAGATAATTCTTCCTTAAAAGTCTATTCCTGGAACACTGCGCACAATGTTGCTGCTTCCTGGATGACAGACACTTTGCTCAAGATTTCGGAAAGGACTCGTCATAAAGACACATTTCTGCGTGTGCTGAAAGCACTTTCCTGACATGGTTTACATTTAGCGTGTCCTGTTTATACAGCACATGTAGATTGTTATGAATCTTGAAAAATAAGTTTACTTCCTTTTTTAAACTAATGTCCCTGTGAGGTTTGTGATATGCACGCTGTGGCTAACGCTTGAGGTGGCGTACCTTCTGACTGAAGCATGCAAACTACAACAGCTTTCTAGAAAAAAAGGAAGAAAGCTTTCTGTTCTCAGATTAAGTAGCTTGAGCCCGATCTTTCACACTAGAAAGTATCTACCTGCAAAGTATAGCAGACAGAACAGGAAAGGCTTATGCATTCTGTACAATAAAACAAATATACAAAACACAAATTTGATAATTAACTTGTGTGACATGTATAAACATATTTATGTAATATTGCATTAATGTAAATTTTTCTAAGTACAAAGTCACATCAGGCGCTCTATGTGGCTGTGATCCTTAATTTCTAACGAATTATTATAATTCACTAAAACTATAAATAATAATATACAAGGCTCTTCTGTCCTTGCCGATTTTTCTAATCCACAGGCAAGCAGGAGCAGCAGCAGACCAGAAGTTTCTACCAAACCGGAGACTCTGGTCTCGAAGGTCTGATATTATCCATAAGCCCTTGTACAGCACATCTTTATGGAATATGTGATTTAGGCCTAGAGGCATGCTAACCAGGGGCCTAAACACTATGCTCTACATGCCTGGTAGAGGATAGTCAAGATCCTTACAGTCTATGAGATCATGATACAATAGGGTTAAGACACCACAAAAAGGCAAGGTAATAGATCACATTAAGAAACCCAGAAGACGGTTAATAGACACGCAAAGAAATGAAAGGGAATTAGGCGAGATAAAGGCGGATCAAGAGATAAACACGTGTGCAGTAGGGTGCTGAGAAACATACAAAAGAAACCGTGGGGCAGGGGTGGGGCTAAATGACAGCAGGGCAGAGCTAAAAGCACCCAGAAGAAATACCGGGTAACTGCTGCACAGGATCAGGGAAGCAGGAAAGAGTCCCTGCTTCCCCTACATCCAGGCCAGTGGCGTCGCTGGGGGGGGTGAGGGGGAAGCAGTGTGGGCCATGGCCATCATGCACTGCCCCCCCAATTGAAATTGAAGTCTGGAGCGCAGAGTCTCAAGCTGCAGCAGCACTGTCTTCCACCCTTTTCCCACATGCGGCCAGAGGGGGCACTGTGCTGGGAGGACTTCCTCTTGGATCACTGAGAGCAGCGCAGTGGAGAGACAGGGACAGGAAGTTCAGCTCTGCACAGAGACATCCTGGAGTCAGTGTGTGTGGTTCAGTCTCTGTGTATGGCTCAGTCTGTGTGTGTATGTCACAGTCTGTGTGTGTGGGGTTGGGGGGTGGCCCATACACACAGACTGAACACCCACACACACACGCCCAAGTGCATCTAATGAGGTGTCTAATTAGACATGAACATGCCTGTTTTCTAAACCTATAATAAAACAAATAAAACGTCAGGAGCAGCTAATACGTTTATATTCCAATTTTTTTTTTATATAATAAAGAAAATAAAAAGAAAGGGAAGAGGGACTAAAGATACATTTATGGTCACAACTCAAGCAAAACTGGATACTGCCCATACACAATTAGTGTCACTGATGATGTGTGCTATGCATACAGGTTTAAATAGCAAAAAAAACTCCTAAAGATGCATATATCAAACTTGTGCTGTATTTTTTTTCAAAAGTCCCCTGATACTTTGTGATATTGGCTGTCGGGTGACTATTATGTGCCACAAAATTGATCATGTGCTTTGACAGGTCTGTAACTCATCATATGCCAATGCAATCAATTACCATGATTTTTACCCTTAGTTGGGGCGAACACAAAAAGTGTGTTTAACAACCTAATGAGAATGCGGTTTGGCCATCTTTGGGTACAGCCGGCAACCTCCTTGCGTACACATGTGGCCAATGTTGCCTTGGACTTATATTCAATGGAAATGCCAGGCATCTCACATATTGCATAGAAAAGACACAAAAATATACAACAAACTTACAGCTTAAGGAAATGTACTACTTCTCATTTTTAGGACCTTTCCACAAAATCCATATTCCACAAAAAACAAAATAAGCATATAGACAGAACACATTGTGAACACATCTGTAAAAATCATACCTGGATTTGATAGTCTTCACCAATTTTTTCCAGCTTCTTCTTGCAATCATATATTGAAGCTTTAATATTGTGCATTTCAGAACATAAGGCAATTGCATTGTCCACCTGGGAAACAAAAATAAAGAGGGCCAAGCTTACCGACATATATTTTATATTCTGCTTATTGTTTGCTAATGTTTTAAATGGCAATGAGAGCACATTCAAAATACTGTTCATTTTTTATTTTTTGTTTAAACGTATAGCAGGTCTTGTTCAATTCTGCCACATCCACTCTGCTTACTCCAACTCTAAAAATTGCAGCCTCACTTGTGAAAAATGGGTTTGCTCTTATAAACAAACGAGTATGATTAAGATGAAGTCATATCATAAAATACCGAATTGTTTATTCACTAAAATATGAATGTCCGAGTGGCAAAATTTAGGCTAAAACTAGCCAAGTTGTAAATTTAACTAAGATGAATAATTACTCCAAACCTGTTTTCCTGGCACTAGAGAATTCTGGAGTGCCCCCCATCCCATGTCGCTGAAGGGGTTAAAGCCCCTTCAGCTACTTACCTGACTCTAGCACCAATGTTCCTTGGCACTGGGTCAGGCCTGCCCATGCTCCTCTCCCACTGACGTCAGCCGGCGGGGGGAGACCTAATGCGCATGCGCGGCAATGGCCATTAGATCACGCATTACACCCCCCATAGGAAAGCATTTTTCAATGCTTTGCTATGCGGAAAATCTGACACTAGAGGTCCGTGAGGACCTCCAGCGTCAGATAACCAACCTAAGGTCGGTTTGGATTCTGGAAGCCCTCTAGTGGCTGTCTGTTAGACAGCCACAGAGGGCAGACTTAGAGCTGCAATGTAAACATTTCAGTTCTCTGGAACTGCAATGTTTACATTGCAGCACTAAGTGCAAAAGGGTCACTGCACCCAGACTACTTCAATTAGCTGAAATGGTCTGGATGCCTGGAGTGTCCCTTTAAGCTGAGACTGGTAAGGCTGTCACTAAATGATACAATTGCAATGTAATACTGTACTCATATGTAACAAACTACTATAATTTTCTTTAGCAAACTCTCTACGCTTGCTCATTCTAATATTTTAATTAGGAATGTTGTTTAAACATTTAATTTCTGTGATGCAGAAACTGCAATTTTCTCACTATTATTTAGTTTACCTCATCAACTATTTTTTCTCCATTTGGTACCATATTAATGAAGTTCTGAATGACCTGAAAACGTTCCTTTGGCAAATCATCGGACTCCTGGGTGGTACTGAGAAAAAGACAGAAAATAATACAAATGAAGAAAATTGCAAATAATACAAATGATGTTTCATGCTAATGATTTTATCACTCCGCTACGCTATAACTAAACATTTTACTGTGCAGAACGACTGTCTTTCTATCTATGAACAGTTTTCAATAGTGCAGCCAAATAATTGCTGTTCGAGCTGGCCATTAACACATCTTTCCATCAATGTACATACACTGAACAAAATTATAAACGCAACACTTTTGTTTTTGCCCCTATTTTTCATGAGCTGAACTCAAAGATCTAAGACTTTTTGTATATACACAAAATGCCTACTTATCTCAAATATTGTTCACAAATCTGTTAGTGAGCACTTCTCCTTTGTCAAGATGATCCATCCACCTCCCAGATGTGGCATATCAAAATGCTGATTAGACAGCATTATTATTGCACAGGTGTGCCTTAGGCTGGCCACAATAAAAGGCCACTCTAAAATGTACAGTTTTATGACACAGCACAATGCCACAGATGTCGAAAGTTTTGAGGGAGCGTGCAATTGGCATGCGGACTGCAGGAATGTCCACCAGAGCTGTTGCCCGTGAAATGAATGTTAATTTCTCTACCGTAAGCCATCTCCAAAGGCATTTCAGAGAATTTGGCAGTACATCCAACTCGCCTCACAACCGCAGACCACGTGTAACCACACCAGCCCA